ATACAAGTGTAATTCCAGCAGAAAATTAATGTATTTTGAATTCTTTTTAAGTATTGGCTCAAATGTTAGTAAAATTAACTTTTTTAATTTGATTTTTTAATTATTGATATAGTAAATTTAGTCAAAAATGATGACACCATTTTTTTWAATTTTTTTGAACCTTTTGCACGTTTTTTAGTAGTGCAAAAGCTCATTTGCTAAATTTTCTTAAAAACAAGTTGAAAAATGGAGAGATAGTTCTATTTTTCTAAATGGTATGATTTAATAATTTGGTGAAAATCTTTGTAAAAATTCTAATTTCTGATGATTTTTTAGAGACCTAAGTGTAATTCCAGCAGAAAATTGATGTATTTTGAATTTTTTTTCAGGTAGGTATTTGTTCAAATGTTAGTAAAATTAACTTTTTTAATTTGATTTGATTTTATTGATATAGTAAATTCAATCAAAAATGATGGCACTACTTTTTTGTATTTTTTTGAGCATTTTGCATTTTTTTAGCCATGCAGAAAACTCAAATACCAAATTTTCTGAAAAACAAGTTTAAAAATCGAGAGATAGTTCTAGTTTTTTAAATCGTAGGTATGGTTGAATGATTTGGTGAAAATCTTTGTAAAAATTCTAATTTCTGATGATTTTTTAGAAACGTGACTGTAACTTAATGTAAATTAATGTAGGTATTTAGAATAATTTTTTTTTCAAAGTTTTTGCTGAAGTGTTAGTAAAATTAACTTTTTTAATTTGATTTTTTAATTATTGATATAGTAAATTCTGTCAAAAATTATGACACTATTTTTTGTATTTATTTTGAGCATTTTAGACGTTTTTTTATCCATGCAGAAACTCAATTGCTAAATTTTCTTAAAAACAAGTTAAAAGATCAAAAGTTATTATTATTATTATATCAGATGACTGTAAATGATTTGGTGTCAAATTCAAAATTTAATTTGGCAATCTTAACTTTCAAATTCAAACGTCAAACTTTTATAGGCAATTGTCATTCATTTGCGACGGACGACTTCTAATTCAGCCGTCACCTGAAACATTCTTTTATAAGGATTACCACTAATACAGTGTTGCCAATAGATTTTTTAGTCCCCGGTATTTCACAAAACTGAATTAAAAACTAGCCAAAAAATTAGAGAATTAGACTAAATGAAATAGAATTAGGTACCTATTTTTGCATTTTCAAGCGTTTAAAAACGTGAATCTTTGACAGTAAAAAATTCAAATCGTATAATAAGATCTGGTGAATTTAATTGTTTTGAGCTGGCAATACTAAGACGTTGGCATATATATTTAGCACTCAAACAATGTGTTTCGTACGAATTTGAGCCACAATAAAAGACAAACGTCTGGCACAAAATTTATTAACAAAGCAACATTATTGTACACATATACAGTAGGTATAATATAGTTTTGCATAATTGTATGCGACAATATACAAAATAAAATTTTTGAATAAATATTATTGTTCCCTTATAACAATATTTCATATGATATTCAACAGGGCAATATTATTTGATTTGATATTTCACGATAAATTCGTAAAAGTTAATGATTATGTAAAAAAATCTTATCAGCTCACTAAGCATTTAAAAATGAAATGAACAAGAAAGCGTCAACAAACCCTGTAATATTTTAACATGGAATATTTATCTTCTTATATATATTTTTTACACATACATCATCACATATAAACAACCATCTTCTTTGCGTTAATAATACATTGACAAGTCCATAGGCGAAATAAACAAATTTGTACCTACTTTACTGAAGAAATAATAAATTTTGTTGTCTCTTAAGCGAGTTAGCAAAACCACCATCAAGTAACAAAGTGAGATCCTAACGTGTTACTATTACTATACATTTATTGTTTCCTTTACATAGGCAAAATTATAGAAAACTAGAAAAAAGTTTTGCAAAAAGGCTACTCTACGTACGTTTCTTAGACCTAACGTTGTCATTTCTGACACAGATAATGTTAAAAAAGAACGTAAAAAATCTAAATCTAAAACACAATCAATAACAAATTTGGTGTTTTAGACGATTCTTATAAACGGATGTCTCTACCGGGCACCCAAATGTTCTATAATCTATTGCCTATTGTTACAATAACGATTGGTTTTGGGGTCTAAAAAGTTACAAGAAGACATCACATCAAACCAGAATATTATACACATTAAATGCAACCTGGCACGTTAATTTTTATAGGTACAATATTAATCTTATAGCGGATTAGGTGTAGAACAGTAGATTTTTATTAGCAGTTTCATTAATCAGTCCCGTTTCGCCTATTATTAGGATCAAAGCAATTTTTGGGCGTATTTTAATTTCCGTCACGATATTGCAAACGAGAAATCCAAGCAAAATGTGTTTCGTAAACGGGAATTTATTTTGGCACATCGCAAGCTGCGAATTGATGATGTGTCTAAAAATAAAAACAAAGTGCGATATTGCAAATATTGATTTTCGGAATGAGATCAAAGGTAAGGAGTGTTTGACGAAGGTCTTTAATTAAATACTTCAGTCTTGGGTCATTCATTACAAAAACGGTCGCTTCTAGTTAATGAGAAAACAGTTCATAATGATCGAAATAATTTAATTGCTTCAATAAGCACGACTCTTTTGTATTAAAGGAATGCAATACTGTTCGACACGGATTCCCTTCTAGTGGCAGTGAATTTGAAGCCCCATTTTCAACGAAACAATCAACACCTAGCGTCGATCATTTTAAATAACAAAGCTCTAGATTTGGGGCCTAGACTCCTAGAGTTTATCGMTTTTTTCTCGAATATCATCACATCTCACTTAACACGTAATCCACAAATAAGCGACATAATTTAGCCGACAAAGTGAGCACATCTCGAAGATGGGAGTCGATTGCAATCARGAAATAACATTTCCCACCATGCCGAATTTCAGACGACTGACAATTTCCCKATTTTCAGTTTGATGGAGTGCGAATGTTACGATCTGAGGCTCCGACGACGATTTCCCATCTATGAAAACGACTTGGGCTATGCGTCCACCTCGTGGCACACCTCCATGTAATCGGGGTGGAGCATGATGTCTTTGATCATGTCTTTCAGCATCGTGTAGCGAAGCACCATCGGGTAGATCTTCGCGTTTGTGTACTCAATCTGCAAACCAAACACTTGAACAATGCATACAAAACAACAACTTGAGTAAACCAAAACATACAATAAAAAATATTTTCGAGATAAATTACCAAAAAAAAAACATGAATATAGTTTATTAGGAGTATAAGTTATAGTTTATGTTGCAAAGCTGAACGTTTATTTTAAATAATTCAACTAAGCCACATAAACTCGCTTTCATTTCTAATACCATACTATTTTATCCGCAAACGTATTCACATCGACAATAAAGTGTAAGACTACAATTAGCAAGTAAATGAACAAAATAATCAAGACACTTGTAATCATAACAATGTTTACAAAAAAACATCGCTCGTCAGTTCAAAAATTTTGAAAGTGTTTATTAATTGAACTAATACATGACTAGTGCAGTTAGTAGTGCAAAATGTCGAATGTTGATGATCTCCAGAAATTGCTGAAGTAGCGAAAGAAACGAGAAAGAAAAGAGACAACATTGTAAATGTCACTGTAAAAACAAAAATAGAATTTTTACTCCATAGCTGAAAAGTAAAACTTTTACTTGCAACATTTAGTCATAAAAGTGGTCACGTTTGTGACGTTTGCGGAGATAAATACACATTTCTTCGCATTTTTATTTAGTGATATTTGCATAGAGTTCAGAAAGTGAGAATCTAAGGTTTTYTTTTTTAAATATTTTGAAAATACATACATACATATGCCATTTGTAAAAAATCTGCAGAAGTGGATTTCACTCAACAAGGTAAAATAATTGCTAATATGGTTAAAAAGTACATTATTTTCTTGTATTTCTGAGCCTTTTAGTATGTTTTTAGCCAAAAACAGAACTATTTTGCAAAATTTCGTCAAAAACAAACTGAAAATTGACAAATTAGGCCAAAACTAGTCATATTTCAGCACGTTTCTAAAATACATTCAAATTTTTGCTAAAACTGACTGAAAAATTACCAAATTAGATTGAAATTGATATCATTTTAGCGTGTCTCGTTCGATTTAGTTCGTTTTTGAACCAGAGACTCATTTATTTTGCAAGATATTGTCAAAACATTCTTAAACACAACAAAAATAAATCTAAATTGATGTTATTTTGTTTGTTTCATTCGATTTAGCTCTTTTTGAGTGAAATTTTGTCAAAAAAATAAGACGAAAAATACAAAAAATAGTCGAAAATAGTGTTAATTGCAAGATTTTGCTAAAACAAACCAAAAAAACACATAAATAAGTCATTATTTTTGCTTTAATTAAGTATTTTTAGCACGATTTTCAAGTAAAAACGTAAATATCCGGTGACTGTAAATGATTTAGTGTCAAATTTAAAATTATTCTTAGATAACAAATTTAGAAAGATTACTACTAATTTAGCGTTGCCAATAAATTTTTTGTCACCCGGTATTTTGCAAAATTGAATTAATAACTAGCCAAAAAAATTATAGCATTAGACTAAATTAGACTAACGTTGTCATTTCTGACACAGATAATCTTAAAAAAGAACGTAAAAATCTAAATCTAAAACACAATCAATAACAAATTTGGCGTTTTAGACGATTCTTATAAACGGATGTCTCTACCGGGCACAATTTTCGGTACCAATTTTCATGCACAACCGTATTTTAGAAAATTTTAATATTAGATTTCAGATTTATCAGAAAAGGAAAATAAAAAAGTTTTGTGAATGTAGTTTCAAAAACTAATTTTTGTTATTACATTTAATCAATAAATAATTAATTACAACAAATGTGTAATTAATTAAAAACAGTAATAAAACTCTAAAATTGCTTTTTCAGAACGAACAATGAGAAGAATTATTTTGTTGTAAACTATTCATTTATTGCAAAATGAATAAATGCTGACTCCCCTGCGTTCAAACCCCAAATAAAACAATTGTTTCCCCATGCATTTAAAATTTATTCAAATAGTGTAATAGCTAAAATACCAATTCTAATTTTACGACATAGGTATTTGTGGCATTTTTTAATTCACAAAAACCACTGTTTCCATATTTCGATCAATTCACTTTAAGAACTGTTTTATACGCGAAATTCAATTTCAATCAACATAAATACCCTTGAACCCGCTTGATTGATTGATTCCCACGTGGCTCTTCATTTTGGTTCCTTGAATAGTCCCAGGTTGATGTTGAGTCGAATGATCCAATTTCAATGTAATTGTAAAGTGTAGGGTTATAAATTTTATTGTAAATGCAATTGTTCCAATATTTGAATAGATTGTTGCCACGATGACAAAAGCTCGTTCTACTTCTCTTGTAAAAAATATTACATTCTTCCAGAAAAGTAAAAATACGATTTATTATCTCTACCTTGTCTGAAATCATCGTTTTCARATCTGAAAGTTACGCACGTCCGKTTCTTCGCAAATAATATCCCCTTACRCTTCGCTCTACGTGTTTGATTTTTTTTATATAGTGGAGAGTATCGCGATCTTGAAACTTSAGAAGAGATTCCAAAATCAACTGATTTTTTAACGAAAAAATAGACAATAGATTGGTATCAACAATCGAATGCAAAACTGAAAASGTAGACATATTCGGAATTTCAGGAAATAACAGCAGCCATTCTACTGAAAGCTTCTTGCGAGCAGCGTTGTAAAAACTGTAATTTTACGCGAAATAAACTACTCTTCAATGATTGAAAATTTTGAAACAACAATTTAATTTAAATGATGAAATTTATCCCTAGTGTCGAAATGAGTTAATTAGTTGATAATAATAGATAGTAATAAAAATGTAAAAGTGTATTCTCTATATTTTTAGCCCAAAACTCCAATTTCCCTCCAASAAGAGGAATATAAAACGGAGGAATTATTTGCATATGTATGCCGGTGTTCAAATGCGGACAACTTTCCCAAGATGATAAGATATTATCCATCTAGAAACCAAACCGGGATCTTCAATATCTCGTGATTATGCTGTGTTGGAATTTGAATTCTGGATTTCAGGTCAACGTAAAAGCAGGATCATTGATTCAATCGCAGGCTTTGTTTGATTTTAGCAAAAAAATCTCCTGCTCAACATATTCAAGAAATTGAATCACCCGCTGTGTAYAAATTCGGATAAACAGTGATAACAATTAACGCAACTATTACCATCATTGACGCGCGAAATGACTTAATTATTTAATAACAAACTAGAAAAKCCAACAAAAGTGGACGGACTGGAAATTCCGAATGTGATATTAAAAGAGGCTGGGAAGCTATCACATGAGCTYATTGTAAATAAATTAAGTGCTGCTTCAAATGCAGTTATTTTTATTGCATATAAATGATATTGAAATATCTAAACAAATCAATTATTCAAATTCAATTAGCTTTCAGTTAGATATATTATAACGCCTCAAATTTAAAACTCAATAGCAAAATGTGCTTTTTTAATTTCTGAAAAAGAGTAGTAACAATAAGTGGACGATTTACAATGTTTCAGTACTCTCTTTTTTTAAAAAAAAAACAAACATTATTGTAAAAAGCTCAGTTTGAGAAGAATGACATTTACACAGGATATTGTTTAAGAAGAATCATGTTTCTGTCACTTTTATGTAAAAATTGATGTATGGCGTAATCCGAGATCGATCATCGTAAAATCACAAAGCGTCTATAAATTCATAATTTAAAGCTTTCGACAGAAATTACAAATACATAAAAATGTGCCAATAATGCATAAAATTGTCCTTTTATGAAACAAATCTAGCGCGTCTTGCCTAAGGGTACAAATGAAAATTTATGAATATGAGAACGGGGATTAAGCGCTGGTGTCAGATAATTTAACTTTTATATATTTTGGTAGAAAAGGGCAAAAAACGTAAACATGTTTTGTAGAATGGCGTTATCGCTGAAAATAAAATCCAAACAGCGTTTAAAAATAGTGAGGAGACTTGCCCGAGTTTGGGAAATGTTTTAAATGAAGATATTGAAAGACGTCATTTCAGGATAAACGAAAACGGAACGAGGTGAGGGAAAAATTTGTATCAGGACTTACTTTTAACTGTCGAATGAGGTTTCTTAAACCMGAGTATTTCTTCAGTAGCCTATAGAGATCGTTAGTCATTTGTGTGTTTTCAGCTTCTATTTGTGAAGTCGTCATATCTGTAACAAAAGTCAGGAACAATAAACTTTAATAATTACCCTCGTTACTGAAATTGAAATATGAAAATCTCACTCAATCGACTTACTTTCAAGACGTTCTATTCTCTCCCTTTTATCTTGTGCTTCTTCGGCGAGCTTTGCTGAAGTTTTTACACCTTCGCCGGATTTCTGTGTTTTTTCCATAATGGCACAAGCTCTGAGAACAAAGGCGGGTACTGTTTCCTGTTTTTCTTGTTTCGGAATATCGACTAATGTCCAATATTGGGTTTCTAACCGTATCACTTCCTGAAAGAAAATCAATGTTTCAGAGTTTTCACCCCAGTTATTAATTAATTKATCATTAAATTACGTAAAATAGTATCTCTCGCAATTTTTTAAGCAAATAATTCAATTTTATTATTGAATTTTAAATTAATTAGCCGCTAAGAGTTTGTAACTGCATTACCCGCCACTGAACGAGATTAACCATCCTGCAATGCTTTGACCAACAAAAGAACATTATAACCGTGTTAGCAAAATACTTTCAAGTGAATTTTTTTCGTCTAAATTTCATTCAGCGAGGAACAATAGARCCAATTTCAACATTGAGTAAAGTCAGATGTTAACCTATTTAACTTGACACCTAAACATGTAATTATCTCAAGAGTTGGTGACTTGCGTTTTCTTATTACTCATAAAGTTTGATTAGTTTAGTAACTTCCCGAGTTAGTAACCTTACAATGTGCATTGTGRGCGAAACCGAACCAATCGTCAACTTAGTTAATATTGTCTTCATTTCGAAGTTGCACTCCAGATTTTTACCTTAATCATCGCTTTCAACAAGTTGTATCTTTGAAAGATATTGTGGACACTCTTGCTGTCGTTATATTTTCCCATGAGAGTAACAAGTGCTTTTTTCGCCGTGTCGTAAGACTCATCCAGTCGGATTCTTACAGCTCGGAGTCTTTCATTCGTTTCTATGACCTCCTCTTTCGTTTGACCACTCGCAGTTCCCTCGTCCTTGACGTCCTGGACGATCCTTCGAACACTTTGCGTGAATTTACCCACCAAGTTTGTCGAGCCTGGAACAAGGATCGTTACGACAAGTGTCATAAATCTGCCTAATATTACACTGTAAACGGTGATTAATGATCCATTTGGAACTACGTCAATATCGCTAATTGCATTAATTTATCGCTGGAATGACAAAAATAAAAAAWTTWAWMG